GACAGAGAGGGTATCATTTTCCTCTGTCACTACTTCTGTCTCTTAGCGATTTCAGTATTTTATAGAATAGTTTCTGGTTTATTGCGTAATTCTTTCCTATTTTTTTTCCATTATTCGTTTTTGGCAGCAGTTTTTTTTGTAGTGCTGCGATATCTGCAACTTCTGGACGATCCATTATGTGGCCACACCGGTATTTTTAGAAATAGTAAGACGACGCATAATTTTCAAGTATTTACTCAAACGTCAAGTTGATGCGTTAGAATTTTTTGACAACACACAAATGTCAAATTTGACGTAAGTCACTTATGTCTTGCGTCAGTTTTGGCGTAAGACAAAGAGAATATCATTTTCCTCTGTCACTACTTCTGTCTCTTAGCGATTTCAGTATTTTATAGAATAGTTTCTGGTTTATTGCGCAATTCTTTCCTATTCTTTTCCATTATTCGTTTTTGGCAGCAGTTTTTTTTGTAGTGCTGCGATATCTGCAACTTCTGGACGATCCATTATGTGGCCACACCGGTATTTTTAGAAATAGTAAGACGACGCATAATTTTCAAGTATCTACTCAAACGTCAAGTTGATGCATTAAAATTTTTTGACAACACACAAATGTCAAATTTGACGTAAGTCACTTATGTCTTGCGTCAGTTTTGACGTAAGACAGAGAGAGTATTATTTTCCTCTGTCACTACTTCTGTCTCTTAGCGATTTCAGTATTTTATAGAATAGTTTCTGGTTTATTGCGTAATTCTTTCCTATTTTTTTCCATTATTCGTTTTTGGCAGCAGTTTTTTTTGTAGTGCTGCGATATCTGCAACTTCTGGACGATCCATTATGTGGCCATACCGATATTTTTAGAAATAGTAAGTCGACGCATGATTTTCAAGTATCTACTCAAACGTCAAATTGATGCGTTAAAATTTTTTGACAACATACGAATGTCAAATTTGACGTAAGTCACTTATGTCTTGCGTCACTTTTGACGTAAGACAGAGAGAGTATCATTTTCCTCTGTCACTATTTCTGTCTTTAGGGATTTCAATATTTTATAGAATAGTTTCTGGTTTCTTGCGCAATTCTTTCCTATTTTTTTCCATTATTCGTTTTTGGCAGCAGTCTTTTTTTGTAGTGCTGTGATATCTGCAACTTCTGGACGATCCATTATGTGGCCACACCGGTATTTTTAGAAATAGTAAGACGTCGCATGATTTTCAAGTATTTACTCAAACGTCAAGTTGATGCGTTAGAATTTTTTGACAACATACAAATGTCAAATTTGACGTAAGTCACTTATATCTTGCGTCAGTTTTGACGTAAGACAGAGAGAGTATTATTTTCCTCTGTCACTACTTCTGCCTTTAGGGATTTCAGTATTTTATAGAATAGTTTCTGGTTTATTGCGCAATTCTTTCCTATTTTTTTCCATTATTCATTTTTGGCAGCAGTTTTTTTTGTAGTGCTGCGATATCTGCAACTTCTGGACGATCCATTATGTGGCCACACCAGTATTTTTAGAAATAGTAACACGACGCATAATTTTCAAGTATCTACTCAAACGTCAAGTTGATGCGTTACAATTTTTTGACAACATACAAATGTCAAATTTGACGTAAGTCACTTATGTCTTGGGTCAGTTTTGACGTAAGACAGAGAGAGTATCATGTTTCTCTGTCACTACTTCTGTCTCTTAGCGATTTCAGTATTTTATAGAATAGTTTCTGGTTTATTGCGCAATTCTTTCCTATTTTTTTCCATTATTCGTTTTTGGCAGCAGTTTTTTTTGTAGTGCTGCGATATCTGCAACTTCTGGACGATCCATTATGTGGCCACACCGGTATTTTTAGAAATAGTAAGACGACGCATAATTTTCAAGTATCTACTCAAACGTCAAGTTGATGCGTTAAAATTTGACAACCTACAAATGTCAAATTTGGCGTAAGTCACTTATGTCTTGGGTCAGTTTTGACGTAAGACAGAGAGAGTATCATTTTCCTCTGTCACTACTTCTGTCTCTTAGCGATTTCAGTATTTTATACAATAGTTTCTGGTTTATTGCGCAATTCTTTCCTATTTTTTTCCATTATTCGTTTTTGGCAGCAGTTTTTTTTTGTAGTGCTGCGATATCTGCAACTTCTGGACGATCCATTATGTGGCCACACCGGTATTTTTAGAAATAATAAGACGACGCATAATTTTCAAGTATTTACTCAAACGTCAAGTTGATGCGTTAGAATTTTTTGACAACACACAAATGTCAAATTTGACGTAAGTCACTTATGTCTTGCGTCAGTTTTGACGTAAGACAGAGAGAGTATTATTTTCCTCTGTCACTACTTCTGTCTCTTAGCGATTTCAATATTTTATAGAATAGTTTCTGGTTTATTGCGCAATTCTTTCCTATTTTTTTCAATAATTCGTTTTTGGCAGCAGTTTTTTTGTATTCTTCCTTTCTCTTTGATAGTTATTGTAACTTTCTTGAGTATTTAATTTGCCAAATAAGTCTTCCACATTTTTGCATTAACATAAATTATAACTAAAAAACTTCAATCGATGGAGAAAAATGATACGCATAAAAATAATTCGTGTTTTCTCTTTTTACTTATTAAATATTAATGATTATTTACCTTAAGTTTGCGACGTGCATTAAACTTCTTGAGACAATCCACCGTTTCTTGTCGGTGTACAACTGAAGCAACACGTTCCCTCTGCTGCAATTTATAAAAGAGAATTAATTAAAATTGAAAATACAATATGAAATCCATGAAGCTTACGCAAATCCAGGGATGTTTTAAAGCTTCCGCAGCCGTTATCCTTTTGCTAGGATTAACCGATAACATTTGATTAATCAAATTCTTCGCTTCCGGAGTAACTGTATCCCACTCGGGACTCGGATACTACAATAAAACAATCAAAACAAGATAAAACAATCAAACTTTATAACGATCAAATATCCAATGTTTCACGGAACTTTCAGCTAACTTTTAACGAGGTATTAAATATACAAAGCGTCGAATTTTAAATTATCGATACTTTATAAAGTTCACTTAGCTGATTGAAAGTTGGTTGAGGAAATAGAAATAAATAGAAAAGTGTTACCTCGTAAGCGCCGGCTTTGATTTGGGCGTACAATCTGTGTTGGTCTTCGTCCCAAAACGGTGGGTAACCCACGAGAAGGATATAAAGGATGACTCCGCAAGCCCAAATATCGACTGGTTTTCCGTAAGGTTCCTTTTTGAGAACTTCCGGTGATAAATAACCGGGGGTTCCCGCAAATCCGAACCATGCCTGTTGTTCACCCTGTACTTCAATTGCTAAACCGAAATCCGCTAGTTTTACCGCAGCTCCTTTTGCCTTACTAGCTAATAATAAATTTTCAGGCTAAAAAAAGAAAATTTTAATAATAATTCGAACAATAATATTAGTTACCTTGAGATCTCTATGAACTACACCGTTCTGATGACAGTGATTAACTGATTCTAAGATCTGTTGTATGCAATGTGATGCATCAGCTTCAGAATAAAATTCTCTGGCGACGATATCTTCGAATAATTCCCCGCCAGTAACTCTAAATACAACAAAATAAAATAATTTGTTTTAAATTTTTATTAAAAACTTACAGATCAAAGACTAGATAGTGGTAATTTTCTTCTTGTATACTATCGTGCAGCCTCACTGAAATAAAACGAAAAAGAATTGATTAGAAACAAAATTAAAATTGTTTTATTAAAAATTCAACATCCCCCCAATAAATAAATATGATACGTTAATATCGTAATAAAAGAAATAAATTAATTAACGAAAAATAAGAAAAATTAATTTAATACAACAAACAATAATTAATTAATTAATAATTAAAGATTAAAATATATTCATTATGGAGTACTCATTAAAATAGATTTAAAGAGAGTTTAATGGGAAGAAATTATCTCGAGGGGAAAAAGAAGTTTTTGAATTTAAAATTTTGTAAGGAGATTTAGAGACTTGTTTCGAATCGTAAATAATGCCATTAACGCTTTTAGTCCGTTCAACAAGTAGTCCGAGCGCGAAAAAGCTCACGGGACGTCAAAAAGTTTTCAGTTGTGTTGGGTGAGTTAACTTTGGCGAATTTCAGAAAAGCTCAATGGCCAAGCTCGACTCTTCCCACTTCTCCGCAATTCAACCGGACGAAACTAAATGGAGTTTTAGTTCGTTTAATGCGATTTTGGGACTTTTAGCATAATGTGTATTCGAAAAGTAGATAAACAGATTTTTTAATTAAATTTGTTCAAATAAAAGCATTGGCTTAATTACAAGTTATTTATAAGAATTTTCATTTTGTCGTGGACATTCGCAATCCATATAAACCAGTGTTATCCACTAATTTTTGATCAACATCGACTTTTTATATAAATGTCTTGCCAAGATCGACCGAAGGGTTTAAAGTAACCTTCCTTTTGTTTGCTCTAAGGCCCAGATATATGTAGATATTTCAGGTTGATGATTTTTTTGGCAATCGACGTTATGGTCACCACTGATTTAGAGCTTATAAATAAAAATGGTAATAATTGGTTTAATCTTTTTATGGATCTAGTCTTTATGGTCCATTACTAAGGTTGTATGTATAAAAAATATTTCC